TGCAAGGTTTAGGAATTATTTATCTTTTAAATTAGATATTAAACAAAATAGAATTTAAACCTTTAATATGTAAAATAAAGACTTACATAAAATAAAACTAAAATACTGTATATAAACTTTTTAACTTATTAATGATAACTCTTTACTGTAAAATGTTTGCAAGCCTAAATTAATATCTAAATTACTAAACAAAGTAATAAATGTAAAAATATTTTTAATTATATAAAATTATAATAGTTAATCTTTATGAACAGTTGTTTTGCTCAAAAAATCGTTTTATTAAAATGCAAAAAATAAAAAAATAAAAAAATAAACAAAATAAATGCTGTTTCAATATAAAACAATTAGTTAAATTTTAAATTTTGTAATACTTTTAAAGCAATCACTTTCAAAATTGCTATTTCGTTCAACACTTAAATCATCGACAACTGTTAGAACATACAATAAAAAAAATATTTAAAATTGAGTACCAAATAAAAAACCAAATTAAATTTATTTTAAATCAACTATTTTTATTAAATAGTGTACTTCTGATAATATTAATACGCTAATTTAATAGTAGTAGTTAATAGTCGACTTACGTCATTTTCTAGGATTTTCTATTTTAAAGTAGTTTCTAGACTTTTCTATACGCATTTTTTTTTTTTTTTTTTAATTTTATTTACTAACAATCCATATTACGGGTTGCTTACTGCTAGTTTTATTAAATAGTGTAATTTAATTTTTATTAAATAGTGTAATTTAACTTTCTTGTTAAATGCAAGAAAAATATTTTTTGTAAAGCATGTTATTTTGCATTTTCTATATGTTCTTTTTTCCTACTCTTTCAACCTGCATTACAATTCCAGGTCAGTAATACCAGGTTTGTAATATGAGTGAGCTAATTTAACTCAATTTAAAGTTAATTTAAAGTTAAATTCTATGAAAAACTATGTTATGACAGTATCAAGTATAGATCCAAAACTCCATATGGTACCATTTATAAATTTTAAAGCCTCATTTCTATCTAGATCAAATAAAGTACCATGTGATTAAATGATTCATTTATTATTTGGAAATCTACTCTCTGGGACACTATTTCCATGAGAAAGCGTCGAAAAGGTTGAAAAGGTAATCAATTCAAGAAAATTTAGGTGAACCACTTTTATCTGAAACTTTAGTTTCAAAGAAATTGATTAGTGTATCAATAAAAAATTAAGATTTAGAAACTACTGGAAGACCAGTAAGCTGAAAGGCTTCTAGTAGGAAGATTGATACATTCCAATAAAAACTAATTCTACTAAAAACTTGTCATAGAATTTAGGCAGCATCTCCCTTTGTTATGTACATTATCACAAAACTTCTTATCTTGACAAGCCATATGAAGAAAAATTTACTTAAGGCCGCTTCCAATGATTTATATAGCATATAAATATATATAACAAATAGTATATATAATACTTCTATAGTGAGACTTGAGATCCTAAGAACTTATTTTTTTCTTGAAGATTCAAGAAAGATTTGATTATAATAAATAGGTGATTATCAGGTTATTCTGATTTTAAATGGATTGTAAATGCTTTACAATACTCAAGACAATTTTGCTCGCCGCATAGATTTCTAAAGATAATTTTGCTTGCACATAGATTTCTAAAGATGATTTTGCCTGCACATAGATTTCTAAAAATAAATTTGCTCGCCACATATTTCTAAAGATGATTGTGTCACATGGATTTTTAAAGATAATTTTGCTTGCCACATAGAAGTCTAAAGATAATTTTGCTTGCACATAGATTTCTAAAGATGATTTTGCTTGACACAGATTTCTAAAGATAATTTTGCTCTCCACATAGATTCCCAAAGTTTCTGAAAAATAAAATTTCATTTTTTTACCTATATCAATTAACTCCAACCATTTACAGTTTTTGCGTCTTACACAATAACCATCAGCAACTTATTTTAGCCATTTCAGTTTTTTTGGAAATGCTGCCAATACTATTATTCTTATTACTATTATCCTTATATTAATATTATTATTAGTATTATTATTATCATTATCATTACTATCATTAGAATTTAGAAGCTTAGTTTTGAAGAGCTTAGGCATTAGTAGAACAAGAAGTTTTGACATTTTAGTATAAACCAGGTGAACTCTTGATTTATTTGATTGAAAATATCTTTAAAAATACTTTAAAGTCATTACCAATGCTAACATTAAATATTAATTACATCATTTTTAATAAACATAACAAATATATTTTACATGTATATAATATGCATAATATATATTATCTAATTTATTAAAATTGAACAAATAAATGCCAATATAATATACCTAGATACATTTATCTCATAATATTATAATTTCATACAAGAAAAAGTTAGTTACATACACAGTATGCAAAACATAGAAAGTATGTATACACACAAAAATCATACTTAAAGGTCATTCATAAATTATGTCACACAAAATTTGATCTTTTTTGACCCCTCCCTCTCCCCAACACAATATTGAAACTCT